CGGAGCGTCTCCTGCTGCAGAGAAACTTCAGTGAACAACAGGCGTGAGGCTAAACCTCACACAGCTCGCTCTAGCCGAGGCCTTTCTGTGTTTTGCAGATTGGTTCAAGTGAGTAAAAACTACCGATCGGTGATGAGAGCCTGTATGGAGGACATGCACCAGGCAGCCAGTAAGTTTGTGCTCGTGCTGTGATAAAAGGGAATGCTCTTTGTGATTTAAAAGCAGCATTTCAATTGTAAGTTTTGGCACCTACTGTAAAGTAGCATGCAGAGATTTTGGAAATCTTATCAAGACTCCATTTCCATCCAGGAGATTTCCAAGTTGGTTTGTAAATCTGGTCAGAGGTGTGTTTTTCTCACCGTATGTTAACTGATTTTCTGGGGACTTGCAGCCTTTCCATATCTCAGGTTGCAGTTTTATGGGAAACTGAGTCCAAATTAACAGCTTGCTCCCCCAAAAAAGTGGGAGATTTTACTCTTCCCTTCCATCCTTGCCCTGTAGCCGTACCCAGATTTGCACAGGATTTATAAAAAAAGTGACAAAGTTTTATATAAAAGTTAGCTTTGACTTATGTGTAATCGTTTTGGTCTGTGCTTGATGACTGATCAGGTATAGTTGTCTTTATTTATGAGCCCAGAAAGGGCTGTGAAAGGTAAAAAAGTTGCTCTTTGATTTTCTTCCCTCAGTTTCAGCCCAGGACGCTGCCCTGCACAGCCAGTACAGCACTCAGGTAATCTGCAGTCTCCTGGAGTCACAACTGAACGTGATCGGTGGCTATAAATCCATCCAGGGTGGCTATAAATCCATCCAGGGCGGCTATAAATCCATCCAGGGCAACCCTGTGGCAGTGAGGCAGCTTAGGTTTGACTCTGGCTTAGTGCATTGGATGCACTTCTCGACCAAGAATAAACGGGAATAACTAGTTAGCTCCTGTATTTCTAAAACCATGAAAAGATGCCCAACATCTGGGTTCACTGCTGTTTATTAAATATATATTCAGTGCTATAGGTGTGATGTTGTCATCTTAAAGCCACCTGTGGGCCAGTCTGACACGTCACCTCTCAACACTCAAGTTCCAGTCAGCCGCTTATTCGTTTTTCTTTCTTCCTTACTTTGCTGTTTGCAATGTTAAGTATCGGGAGTGCAAAAAGGCTGAAAATGATACATTCTGCACTGTTTTGTATTCCCTGCTGACTGATTATCATTGCGTTTCCATACCCAGCTTTAATATTTTCTAGAATGAACGTGTGTAGGCAAGTTGAGGCCTGATTCTCTCCGTTTGTATCTCTGAAATGTTATTATGACATTTCTCTGGTCTGTAAGAACGGAGCTTAACTGACTGACTGCTATGGACAGCAAATGCCTTTGTGCAGTTAAAAAAAACAAACTGGAATAATTAACTAAATCTGAAACATGGCCTGTTCCTTCAGGTTTCTATCCTGTCTGCAATGGAGCTGATCTGGAACCTGTGTGAGATCCTGTTTGTCGAAGCAGCTGCAGGTGAGCAGTGAACGGTCCTGATGTTAAGACTGGAGGGATTTTATTCATGTATTTATTTGTTTAAAATGTATATAGTATCCATTGCGCCATTTTAATATGTTTTAGAGATGTGACAAGTGTTAATAAGCCTTTTAATACCTCTTCTGCTTCAGTAAATTGCCTTCTCCATACCGAGTTACGTCAAACCGTGAGATTTGCCTTCTGCTTTTCCCCCTTGTGTAGAACACTGCAGTTTAAACTGCCTGTTCTACAGGAAGTTGATGAAGAGGAGGGATACCAAAAGTTGCTGCCAGTTTATTTGACTTTTAAGCATAAACACATCTTAAGCATCAAATGTGTCAATGTCACCTAACATTGGCACATTCTCTCATGCAACTCCTCTAACTTCAGGGTGCCATTCCTGAAGTCACTTTGTTTACACCAGCATTTTAAAGAAGTAAATAATTTTTTAAGGAAGTGGGATTATGCAAAAATATGCTACTTGCACAGTCCCAGAATTCAGAAGAGAGATTAATAAATTGTAGACTGCTTAATCTGAAGAAAAGTTAATCACCTAGTGCCAGATTTCTTCCTCATATTCAGTTTATAATAATGAGATGATGCTAAATTAAACAAACAAAACCATGATATGTGTCTTTTGGCATTGCAGGATTTATGATCTGAATCACTCACCTTTTATTTCTTCAAGTAACTGGTTAGGGTTTTTTTGCTGGACTCTGCTGCTGTTCTGTCCAAAATTTGCCAGGAAATCTGTCAGCAGCCTGGTGCTCCCATGGCCTGGCTACTTAAAGAACTCCGTTCTTTTGTAATTTAGGTGTGGCAGGTAGAAATCCAATCAGTAAACTTCATCTAACGATTGTCGAACAGTTAGAAGCATGGGGAGCAAACAGTTGGGAACTAACAGAGTGAAATCTTCTCTGCATAAAGCTGGTCTCCTTCTGCTTCGCCTCCTGGACTGGGTTCAACTTCATGTCTGTGACGTGGACAACATGGTCCGTGAAGTTCTGAACAGTGAAAATCCATCGAAACACGAGCTCTTCTGGAACGTAGTGAGTATAAGATTCTTAAACAAAGGGAATTCATGCCTGTTTGTTTTGCCTTCCTCCTCCCCACTTGACTGCATCTCAGAAGCTGGTACACTGGGACACTGCTGCTGTCTGCCTATATAGATTTTAAGATGAAGCCATTCTGAAAATCATCCTACTCCTTGTTCCCATCCTTTCACTTTCCTGATCCACAGAGGTCAAGACTTACACTGTATTTGAATTAGCAGAGCCCGCAGTTCAAGCATTTTAACTCCACCTGACCTGCCTAAATGACAGGTTATGGTTCCCGTGATGCTCCCCCTGGGCGTTTTGCAGCCTTGCGCGGTGCGGTGCTCACAGACAGGTGGTTTTTGCAGGTGGATGTCTTTGTGCTGCAAGGCCGAATGGATGAAGCGCGGCACCTGCTCTCCAAGGAAGCCAGTGCCAATCCCACATCAGTGAACATGTGCAAAATCTTGGATGACTTGATGAAGAAGATGCCGGTGCCCAGTGTATGTACAAAGTGGACCTTTTCCATGCAGTTCCATTGGGAAAAGAGCCACCTCTGATGTGGCTCCTGTACCATCACAATTTGTTCACCATTAAAACATCTCAGTCTTAATCCTTCACAGTGACAAATATTGTCTTCTTGAATTGTCCAGAAGACCCAACCATTCAGATAAAAGCCTGTTAAGTGAAAAACCAACATAGTTGGAAAGATAATTTTTGCAGCAGGATACGTTATCCAGTTGTCTGGAACAGCTGCTGCTGAGAACTGTTCTCTTGTACAGAATATTTTCTGAAGACTTTGCCAGCAGTTTCCCCTGTTTGCAGTGATCTCCTTGTGGAGGAAAAATTGCTGCTGCATCACGGCAATCCCTCACGGGCTCTTCTTTGCCGTATTTAGATGGGTAAAGTAAGACACTTCAGCTACAACTGTAGGACAAGGGAAAACTTGATGGCAGCCCCGTGTTTGGCTTTTTAGCCCAAGCGCCTGTTGTGATTTGACTCGGTGTTTCCTTTATTTTATGTGTCTGATCCTCTGCTCAGCTTGGCAACACCCAGACACTGACCGAGATGGAGCTGAAATGGCAGCACTGGCATGAAGAGTGTCAGCGGTATCTACAGGACGGAACGTTTGCTTCCAATTCCCACATGGAATCCATCTGCAAGGTGTGTTTTTGCTGGGAAGGAAGGAAGAAAACTGTGGACAGGTATTAGATCTGTCCTCGTGTGTTTCGGTAGCTCTGTGTAGCCATAAGTAACTTTAATATTCTGGATGATCTGCTCATTAAATGAGGAGATTGCAGGCAGTGCTCTGTTCTGTGCGCTTTATTTTGCAACAGCCTTGGCAAGCCTGGGCAGATCGTTTTCTCTTCGTGTCCAAGGCCGTCAGGCTGATTAGGAAACACTCTGAGAAGGATCTTTGTCCTTTGTTGTTTAATTTTTATTAAATCCTCAGCTTTGCAAAATGAGAGTAATGCCTCTGAAGAGTTATGATGCGCCTGTGTACCTTGCTGAATTTGCAGAATTTCTTCTATGTTTATCTCCCGTTAGATCCTGCTGGGAGACGAGGACGCCATTCTGGAGAAAAAGGAACTCATGACTACTTGGTACCACTTTCTGGTTACCCGACTCCTGTATTCCCATCCAACTGTGAAGCCAATGGAACTGCGGTTTTATGCACAGGCATGAAATAGAATTATTTTTATATTCTCCACTGTTACTGTACTTCAAGAAAAACTTTGAGAGGGTTCACATCTTACAGCAACTACTTACCTGTAAGACATGTCCTAGAACCTGTAAGTGGACTGGGAGACTGATACAGTGGACAAATAATTGTTGAAGATAACTCTTTTCAGTGTCTAATGTTACCAGTCTTGTTCCTGCAAATTGTTTTCCCAGTTTCCTTATGCTAAAATAAGGATAAATCTTTTTTTGTTAATGTGTTCAGCCTCTATATTATTTCCCATAAATAACCTAAGCGAGGCTGCTAAACCCAAACAAATGTCTTCCTTCTACCATCTCGCAACTTCTGCGTTTATCATGTCTTGTAATCTTATTCCACAGTCTAGTATGGACCTGTTCCTGGGTGGAGAAGGCAGCCCTGAGCCTCTAGACACGATTTTAATGGCAGCCTTTGAATTTGAGATGCATCAAGTGATCAAGGAATGCAGGTTTGAGTTTTCAAGTTTTTGATTCTGTAGTTCTACAGTATTACTTCCGCGTGCATTCGCTCCAGTAGTGTTTGGGATAGAGGATATGGGTACAGCCCACCTGATCATCCTTTCAGAGAATTTGGCAAAAATAGGTGAAGCAGGCAGCAATTAAAAGTATTCCATTAGGTCTGGGACATTGAACCAGACATTCTACAGTAACAAAGCTTCCGTACTGGTAAGAAACACCTGTGGAAAACCTGACACATTCCTTGGCAGTGCTATGCTCAGTTTTTCCTTTCTTTTGCTTGCTTTAAATACAGCATTGCCCTCAGCAACTGGTGGTTTGTGGCTCATCTGACTGACCTGCTGGATCACTGCAAACTCCTGCAATCTCACAATCTCTAGTAAGTATTTGCATTGATTATTCAGACACACAGCAGCAAGGATGACTGAAAGAGCCTGTGGATTTTGGTTGAAAAGGAGCAGTTTGGGCGTTTATAGGAGATGGAGAATAAAGGAGCTGCATGTGCCTCTGAAGTTACAGGCAGTCCACATGCTCTGAGAAGCAGAAGCAGTTGCTGACCTGGTGAATTTGACATGCTCTTCAACAGTGCCTCGGTGAAATGTTCGGATTTTTTTAAAATACAGTTTTATCTGAACTATAATCAAGGGCCCAAATGTTTGTGATTATTTGAAGTGGTGAGAAACTCATCTAAAACGAGTTTTTGTACTTATGTTCTGAATAAATTTAAGTTTGAGCAGTTGAATTTTGCTCAATGTTTCAGTTTCTTAAAGCACTTCCAGCAAGTTACGTTTGTGAAGTGCTGTAAATATTTGGCAGGTCTGCCCAAGGAGAAAGCTGACCAGCATGCTTAGGCCTGAGGTACGAAGCTTGTTAAGACAGCCCATGATAAAACACGCTGCACAAGTGGAAAGTACTTGTGAAATAAAACCAGCAGTTTTTTCCAATGAGGTACAAATAATAATGCCTGTTTCTTTTCTCTCTCTTCCTCTCCAGTTTTGGTTCAAATATGCGTGAATTCCTTCTGCTAGAGTACGCCTCAGGACTCTTCTCCCATCACAGGTAGCACTATTTTCTTTTTTTCTTTTAGACTAAGATCAAGGCAGCCAAAGCAAATAACTACATGTTAAGGAATTAAAACAGCAAAACTGACAGAAGCCACTGCTAGGATTTCAGTAAAGATGTCCCTGAGTATCACACGACACGAGCATGTTTCTCTTCCTGAATAAACCCGAAAGTTTTCTCTCAGAACCCACGAAGCACATTGACCAGGACAGAGTTGCTCCTGCCACTGTGTACTTGTACCAAAGCACTCATGAGATGCAGGTGTTCCAGAGTTGTTGGCAGAAAGGAAAAGCCATTTTAGGTCTGAATACTAAGTTAATCAGAGCTGTTATTAATGCAGACTGTCCTTGTCGCTTTACTGTTGTGCTTATTTAAGATTTGATGTTATTTAAGATGTTGATGATTTTTTCCCCCTCTCAGCCTGTGGCAGCTGGGGGTGGATTACTTTGACCACTGTCCAGAATATGGCAGGGTGTATCTGGAGCTCCACATTGAGCGGATACCTCTGAACACCGAGCAGAAGGCCCTCAAAGTGCTGAGGATCTGTGAGCAGAGACAGATGCACGAACAAGGTGATAGATTTTTACATCTCAATGTTTTGAGTGATACAAGTGAAACTGCTGAAACCAATTCTTCTTCTCTTGTGTGTTTTTTCCCAAGTTCGTAGCATCTGTAAAATCATGGCCATGAAAGCTCTGCGCAACAATCGCTTGGGCTCCGCCCTGTCATGGAGCATCAGAGCCAAGGACGCGGCTTTTGCTACACTGATATCCGACCGGTGAGTCAGCGTCAGCAGCTCCGAGGTGACTGCTGGATCGTGGGTGGTAGGAATGGGAGAGGGCTGCCGTCCTGCGATGGACCAGAAAGGGTCCTGCTGCAGGGGAATGGGGATTGTCTTTCCCTCAGACCAAGTACCTGCTTCTGCACTGGGAAGTGACATTCTTGGGGACGCTCACCTGCAATACCCTAGCTGTTCCTTTTCTACACTGTTTTTACTTCATGAAATCTGGAGATGAAACAGATTGGCTTTATCTAACACTCCAGTCCTCTTAGGCTTTGCTGTGATAAACATTTTGTTTGGCAATACCTCTGTCTCTTGCACGGCCCTTCCACTTGCTCCAGTACGGCTGTTGGACTGTACAGTGAACGAGGGGACTGACCTGAGTGGAGGATAATCCCCTTCTGTGCTTTATTCAGATTATTTTGAACCAGTCTAGTTCACCATGCAGTCTCCAAGCAAGTCAGTGGGAGCCACTTAAGCCACCATTTCTGTAAAAAAATCTCAGGCCACGATTAGAACGTGTTTTGCATAGGCTTGTCACAATATCTGACCTTGCAGGGGTGGGATGGTTGTTACAAAATTGAAGAGGATGCTAACGCTTGGCTTAGGCCTAGACAAAAGATACAGCAACTCTCTTTATGCTTTTTCATCTCTAGCAATCCACATCATCTGTTTTTGTTTTTGCTAATTGGAAATAGGCAGGTAGCAATCTCTTTGCATAGTTAAAGTATAATTTTGAACTTACACTCTGGGTAGGTGGCCAGGCAATACTCTCTCTTCAGCAGTGAAAAAAGGGAGTAGTAGGAGATTGCTGGTTTGGTTTTCATTTTCATTTGTTCTTTGAGGGAGTGGGAATCATCGTATTTCTTTCAACAGCAGGTGAAAGAAAGCCATCACAGGAAGCGGCACTGAAAAAAGCAGCATAATGAAGGCTGTGACAAAACAGATGAAAAGCTTTTAGAGTTGTTTTTGTTCCTGCTGCTTATCAAGCAGTAAAATAGAGCTATTGTTATGATCTGGGAGTGCTATTTATGCATCCACCAGCCTCAGCTCCCTGTGCTCCTTCCTTCACTTTCTCCTTTTAAAGAACAGATCTCAACTACCACAAAATTTAGAAGAATACACATGTTACTCCAGTTCATTGGCCAATCCCAGGAAACACTTTGATGTCTTCTGAAACCCTCATGGAAGGTTGATTAAGATGGAACTCAGTTGTTTAAAGTTTTCTGGGAAGATTTTATGGGATACAAAATGAATGTGGACCATGTTGTCCCGTCTAAGCTTTTATTGTGTTTTACTTTCTCCCTAGATTCCTTAAGGACTATTGCGAAAGGGGATGCTTCTCTGACTTAGACCTCATTGATAATTTGGGACCATCCATGCTGCTTAGTGACCGGCTAACATTTCTTGGTGAGAAGTTTCTACAGTTTTCATTCTGGTCTGTTATTTAGAACACAGTTAACTCCATGGAATTGTTTGGATTTATCTCTTCCTCCATCTGGCTACATCCTGTTTTAGTGATGAGGGGGAAGCAAATGATTCGAAGGTGATTTGGGATGCAGCCTGCTTGCTGCCATGAGACTGCATTTCCAATTGCACTCACAGTAGGCATCTGTTCTGCACTGCTTTGAGCAGGATAGCCTTGAGTTCTGACACCTGCAGGCTTCCCCTTCCTTAGTTTTTGTCTGGACTGTATCACTACCTAGAGAGATTTTGAAACATGAACAGACACAATCTGGAAGACCTTAGGGGGCTTCCTTAGAAGAGTAAACCACTGGTCAAATTGACAATGTGATAATTTTACTAACTTCATACAGTTCTCCAAAATCCCAACATCTTTTGTTGGTTCAGTGTGCCAGTTTCAAGCTCACTCAAACTTAAAATCTCTCCGAACCTTTCACTGCAGCAGTTGTGCCAAGTAGCAGTGGAGAGCCTCCCACTAGCTTCCTTTATGCACCACAGCTTCCTTCTCCTGGCTGGCACAGGAGCGGGCTGTGGTAACCTGCCTGCCTGGCTGCAGCTGCTCTGTGGCATTTGGTTAATGGACCAAGACAGGAAATTGAGCCAAAATGCACCTTTTCCGGAGCTGTGGCAGTTGGCAAGCCCAAGTACTGGGGCCCAAATCTAATAGAAGTTTGGGATAGCTGTTGGCAATTGGACTGACTCCCCTCTGGCTGATACCAGCATTCCAGTGAGGGTGATCCTGAATTTCATCCAAGCTTGCAAAACTGGAACTTTATTTCCTTCATTTAAACCTTATCCTAAATTAAGCCTAGAAGTTAATCATGATTTACCAGATTGGTAATCCCTCGTATCTCTATGCCCAGTGTCACCCAGTGACATCATCAGCCCCAGAGACTTACAGATTAGTTGTGTAACTGTGTTTACAAAATTATGTTTATAGAGAAATTACCTCCCTTTCTGCTTTTTATAAAAAAAATCCTGAAAGGCCTGACAAGATTTTGGCTTGTTTTTTTCTTTGGAAGTTTTAGAAACATCAGGTGAACTTTTGCTGGACAACTTTCACGTCTCTGTCTTGAGCTCAAGCGTTAGTCAAAGGTGAATCGGAATGGGAATCATTACTTCTGGTATTTTGACAGTTTCGAGGGTACAAAACAGAGCCGCTGAAAACAACTCATTTTCATCCTCAGCCAGTTCTCACGTGCTGGATATTGATCTAACTAATTCTGAGCAGGAGCAGAACTTTCCACATGAACAAAGATCCAGTTTCCACTCAAACTCTCAGGCAGACAATGGAGCCTTTCAGACCTCCTGATATTCTGCGACATCAAAAAGAACATTCACCCCCCGCCTCTCCCCTCCCACCCTGGTTTTTGCAGACACCACCAGTCTCCCTAAGCCACTTGGTGCTGTTGCTCACCCTGCAAACGCTCAGCACCAGACGGCACCAGTTAGTGAACAGACTGGTTCAAACAGTGACCCTTACTAAGCACAGTAGCAGCTTTTTGGCTGCCTTGTCAGCCAGCCTTTATTTTAACCTTTCTTCACGCCCGAGATTCCTGTTCCCCCAGACTAGGCTGCTTTGGAGACTTGCTTCAGTTAGGGGTGGTTCTACCACAGGCTTCGTGGCAGCAAATGGGCCGCCCAACATCCAGTAGCCCAGGGCTAGCAGTTCTAAC